ACCCCCCCCCCCCCCCCCCCCCCCCCCCCCCCCCCCCCCCCCCCCGCCTCCCGGCCCCCGCCCCCTTGATGTTCTTGCGACTCACAATTTTTTTTGACTCTCGATGGAGTCTGACTGCATGACTTTCAGGGGCGCGTGGCTGCCTCCCCAGATTCTCCATTCCTGATCATGGATTGTGAACGTCAATGGCCAGATACGGCGAATCTGGGTGGGCAAGGGGAACCTCGCTTGTAACGGGACTGGGCTCGATCCCTGGTCTCGTGTGCCCGTTTCGGTGCCTACTACTATTTCTAGGTGCCGGGACTCTTTCAAATTTAATTTTGGGGCCAGGACACTTTGGCCTGTTTTCATTTTGGCGTCAGCGCTCTTGGGACGACCGGTCCTAGCCTCAGCATACTTACCGATGAGCACCAAAGTCCCGTCCCAAAATTTTCCGAGCTTTGGCCCCCTGCTGGTTCGGCCTGTGTCCACTATCGCTGGTGTCGTCGTTGCTCCATGCAGAGGAAGATGATATGCTTTATCTCCTCGTCCCGAATCTATCCAATCCGAGAACTGTGGACGAGGAGATAAAGCATATCATCTTCCTCTGCATGGAGCAACGACGATGACAATGACCGGCGCCAGGTGGTATTGCCTATAAGTTGATTACCTGGCTTATTACCCTTGCATTCAAGTGATCAATCTAATCTGATAATCTCCACCACTGTGGACGTTTGGCGACCCTCTAGCTCATACCCCTCTGCCAATATGGCTGGTAGTTGGTTATGTAGCTCGTGGGACCTCGCTCCCCGGGAGGGTAAGAATGCAATAAATCGCAGTTTCCCAGTGGGGCTGTACACTAAGTGTGCGGATTTGTAGTAGTTTGTTTTCTTGTTTTGAGCCTTGCGGGACTTGATCCCGTGACCTGTAACTTGTATGTTTTGTTTGTTAGTTGGAGACCTATTGGGCTTGGCCTCTAGATCTGGCACGGTAGTAGTCCCTATGTGGCAGTCTTAGGCCATTTGGCCTTTGCTTTTGCCTTGCCAGGGGTTTGGGTCCCCTTTTCCCTAGTTTCTGGGTAGATACAGATGAGCCTTGGGCTGCTATCTTGGGGGTCCGTATAGGTCTAGTCCGTGAGTAGTAGAGTAGCGGGTAGGAAATTCGTTTGGGGTCTTTTCCTGTTTTCGGCTGGTGGGGAAACTCTGCCTGTGCGTTGTTGGAGCGCTGCTGCGCTTTTTGGGGGCGAGGTCATCTTCTTCCTCGAAGCCCAGCCATAGCTGGGGTTGGGAAACGAAGTTGAAGATCGCACTGCTGCTATTTCGCAGCTCTGCATGAGAGCTTCCACAGGACTGTGTTGTTGGGTTTGGGCGCTGCCATTTTCCACTTGGCAGCCATATCTGCTGTTCCTCCTCACGGGGAACGTCATATTCTTCGAAGCGCTGGATTGGTTGTCTCCTTCTTCATCAGGACTTCCAGTTCTGCACTTCCGTGCGGGCGCTGAGCTGGCGCCGCTATCACTGGGGTTGCTGGTTCAGATTGGCACGTTGTGACAGCTGTGGGGTTACTGCTGCTACGGCAGCCATAGCCAGGGGTACGAGGCGGCGAGGAGGAAGAAGAAGCCTCCCTGAAACTTCGTTGAACATTTGGTTTTCGTTGTTCGGGGTTGTCAACAACGCGGTTGTGATTCTCAGAAAAAAAGTGCTCCGGATTGATTGGAGGAGGACGGGGGATTGGAGAATTGAAATTCGTTTTTTTTCTATTCTCTGTGTATTCTGAGCTTCCGCTGTTCATATCTTCTCTCCGGTTTTGTGTGGATTTGCCTCCTTCGAGTCTATACTCTGCAATTGCATGCGTGAATGGGAACATGTCAATTCGTTGTGGATTGAAGTGCAATCGGGTACATAACAGAGGTCTGTCAAGCTCTCGACAGCAGTTGAAGAAGTGTATTGAGGTCTCACTGGGTGTGTCTGCCATAAAGTTTTGAGCTCTCCTCGACGTACGGCCAACAGAAAAAAACTCTATTTCCGGAGTCGAGACTGTGTGCACGAAGCCGATCTCATGGCAACCTGCACACCGTCTCCAATTACAGTCCACTCCGGAGAGATGAATAATGGCATAACTGTTGATTGCGCCGCCGTCCCCGAGACCATCATAACCATCGGATTGCATCCAATGGTGATGGTGGTCATTTCCAGATGATGAAGGTGATGATGCCTTCGGTCATTCATCGTCTGAATTGTTGTCCCTCAGTCATTCCAGTCTACTCCCGTCCTTACTTTGACTTCTGTCCAAGCACTCTGTGTCTGTACCTAGTATCCTATTGTGTACGAGGTGGGTTCCTCTCGCTCACTCACATCCTCTTGGTGAAGAGCAAAGGCGAGACCTGAGCGCGCTCGTCCGACCCTCCTCACATGAAGCCAGCCTGTCCACGATCACATTCGCACACAATGCACTCCCTTATGGTCACAAGCGGAACTTACTTAAATGCGAGAACTCGGAAAATTTGAAAGAAGGATTCTTTGCATCTCTGCCTACAGTCTGAGACTCGGCTTTTTTTGAAAGCAATATGGGAGGATTTAGACCCTCAGCAGTGTTCTAAAAGGCCGTGCCCACCCTAAGTGAAGGCAGGCCTGCAAATGTGTGTCAATGCCTGCGTACTGGCCTATGAGACCAGGCCAAGCAGAGCCTGTTGCAACCCCCTACGTGGGCATGGATCTTCGAAGAGGCCTTGTTACGAGTTAGCTCCTCGGCATGCCCCTGTGGGGCCTTTCAGCAACCTTAAGCCCGCCCTAAAGTGAAGGCGGGCCCCTGAATTTCAATATGGCCTTAGTTCCGTCTATTTTGGCGAAGTTTGGTGGACGCCAGCAGCACAGGTGAAGCAGGGAGAACCTCACGTTTACTCCTGGGTGGTTGGACAGGCCTAACCGATTCTGTCCCAGGCCAATGTCTGAGTGGTCCTGGGCGCAGACACTTTGGCCCAATCGGAAGCTACTGGAAACACACGAGGCCCAGAGAAACAGCAAGCGGGCGAGCACTTTCCATAAAGGAAAGAGCTCGCCACTGGTGGGCTCATTCGGGCACTGGCTAGTGTGAGCGGCAGCGCTGCTGGAGCGTGCGCTCGCGGGCTGCTTGCTGTGCACTAGCGGATGCCGGGCGCGCGCGGGCGTCGAGGAAAAAGACAGGGCACTGCTGAGGGCAGCGCCATAGCCAGCCCTACATAGCCAGGGCTTGGCTTGGATAGCCAGTGGAGGTGGTGGTGGTCTTCGTGTATGGGGATGAAGACGTGGGTGCCGAAGTCAAGGGTGAGAGAGAGAGAGAGATGAGGTTGATGACGTGAGGGCACATACCTGGCCCTGGCGATGGTCTACAAGGTCGACATCTTCATGTACTTCGGTTGTTGCTGCTGACGTCAACAGGATGCATTGTCCATTCGTAGGCTGCTAGTAGCTGTGTGATTGTAGTCTGGGCGCTGAGCGCCAAGTAGGAGGAACGACTCTGGATACAGATGTTGGTGGTGGCAAGAGTATGCTCTCATTGACATTCAGATTCAGCGCTTTCAATTGGTTCTCCGTTGGTGGAATATCAGTGCATTTCTGCTTTCTGGACAGCGTTGGACTTGCTGGCTTTCAATATGATTTTTTTTGCACTCTGGATTTCTGTCATTTCGCTATCGTTGATTTTCCTTGCAAGGGCGCCAACGAGTCCAGATATTTGAGAACGGGCGCCAACTGCAGAGGGCGCCAGAATGCCGGATGGCGCCAAGTACGACTACATGCCGGATGCCAGGGCACTAGCTGCAGAGTCCAGGCAACAGAATGCAAGGGCGCCCATTGATTTTCCCGACTCTGCAGTTGGCGCCGACTGCAGTTGGCGCCAAGTTCGACTACATGCCGGGATTTGGGAACTCTGCAGTTGGCGCCAAGTACAACTACATGCTGGAGAACGGGCGCCAACTGCAGAGTCCATCTACATTCCTGCTTCCCCTGTCATTTGCCTGGGCGCCAGAATGCCGGATGGCGCCAAGTACGAAGTCCGAAAGTGGCAGAGGCGGGATTTGAGAACGGGCGCCAACTGCAGAGGGCGCCAACAGTCAGGAACCGGAGATCAGAAACTCCAAAAAAAAAATTAGAACAGCAACCTGGTGGGTGGTACCCTGCGGACCAGGGATCGAGCCCTGGCTGAGTCCGTAACACGTTTTGTAATTTGCATTGTGCAGGGCTTTACAGTGGCTTGCTGCCAACACTTGTGAGGGATGCACCCTATTCTGGACTTTATCTTCTCACTTACAATCAAATAAAAGAATCATCGCGAGGCAAGTCTCTTCTCAAACCATCCTTCTTCTTTCCTTTCTTCTTCTTTTTTTTTTTTTTTTTTTCTTTATTCTGAAAGGGTTGCTCTGTCATCCTCTTTCCCTCAGGATTCCATCTCATCTTCCCTTAACGAACACGTACTTTTGTATAGCACTGTATGCCATTCATCCACATGGAGTATAACACTATTCAGCCACAAGTCTGAGCTCTCTCTCCTTTTGCTTTTCAGTGTTTCACGGTTTCACCTTTTTTTTTATTATTATTATTTTTTTTTTTAAGAACAATAGGGGGTCCAGTTCTCGCTTTTTACCTGCTTTTCACAAGTATGGATTCATCTCATGATGTTGAGCAGAACAGGAGTGTCTTCAACCTGCTTTTTTGGCTTCATTGGATTCATGTCGTGATGTTGAGCAGATCGTTGGCAGCAATATTTTTCTCAGTTCTTGTTTCTGTTTGCAATTGTGGCTCATCATTCTTTCCGGGATCACTAAGTACCCAGAAGGCTGGACAACAGGGAGAAGTAGGAGTATGCTTACTTGTGTAATATAGTTTTCTAGGCTAGTAATCAGTTGGACCGCGATAAATACGGAATGCACGAAGTGCTTTTTCCTCTTTCACGTGTCGAAAGGATCTGCCGGCCGTCATTAGCCGGATGCTGGCGAGACTGTGGGTACGGGACTGAGTTAGCGGAAGGAAGGGAAGTCAAGGGGTGAAGAGTGGTGGGAACCCCCTGAGGAAGACAGCGTGGCTGCCGTCGAAACGCGGCGTCGGGGACGCCTGCACCTGTGTTTTTTTCTTGAGCTTAAAGACTTTTGCATCTGTGTAAGGACTTTGTCATTGTGTTGACGTGTGTTTCATCCATTTGCTATCATAAACATAATCATCATGACAATGATGGAAATGGAATAGAAGAAGAACAAGAAGGATTCATCATGACAATGACGATTACAAAATGGAAGAAGAAGAAGAAGAAGAAGAAGAAGAAGAAGAAGAAGAAGAAGAAGAAGAAGAAGAAGTATAAGTAGAGGGTTTAGGGTTTAGGGTTTACAATGACGATTACAGAATGGAAGAAGAAGCAGAAGAAGTAGTAGTAGTAGTAGTAGTAGTAGTAGTAGTAGTAGTAGTAGTAGTAGAAGAAGTAGAAGAAGCAGAAGAAGCAGAAGTAGAAGCAGAAGCAGAAGCAGAAGCAGAAGCAGCAGCAGAAGAAGAAGGAGGAGTAGGAGAAGGAGGAAGAGGAGGGAAGAAGGACAGATGAAACACTGGAAGAAGTGTTGCTATGTGTCTAGAATGTCCCCATTTTCGGTGGATAATACCTATAATGGTATCATGGCCTTACTCCTGTGGCTTGTTTTGGTTTCAACTTTCATTTTTCTTTCTTGCGCATTACACTGTGTATGTCCAGCCTTCCTGCCAGGAAAAGATATACCACAAGCCTACATCAATTTTCTTGCAGGTGAATTGGACTCTTTTTGTCAAGTGCCTTTTTTCTCCCTCCTCTTCCTTTCTGCCCTCCCCTCTCGTTCACAAATTTAACTCTTGCTTCTCTCTCTCTCTCT